CAGTGCAAGCTGACACAGGCTCCTTTCCTGAGCCCAGCCGTCAGCCCGGGAGAGCCACATCTAGGACTCAGGAGCTCACTGCGGCCCGGAAAGGGCCCGGACCCGGAGACTCACCCTAGCCCTGCTTACTCCTCAGGGCCTCAGTTTCTTCACCTGAAAATCACTCTCAAGTCCCTTCCAGCAACATCACTTTTCTGAATCTACTGAGACTGACACGTAGAGCTCTGATTCTAAAAATGTATCATTCCCACTGGTTATAAAACCAGCCCATCTCCTACCAGTTCATGGGTCCAGGAGAGCAGGCCGTGCCTCACAGAACAGAGGGAGGTGTCGGCCGTTACACCCACAATGTTCCAGAGGAACGGCCCAGGATGCCATGTCCTGCGGCTCGCCAGTGGGCTGCTGCACACGCCAGACGCTACCGTGTTTACCCGCTAAGTTTCTCTGCATCCATTACAACAGAGCCAGAGCTCAGACAAGGGGAGGATTCTCAGGTACGAGCATCCAGGAGAAATAACGCGGGAACCCACAGTTCCCACCATGCTGAGAGCACGCTGCTGGGCATGTCCCTTCTCCAGTCCTTCTGGCACACGCCAGCACTTCAGAGCAACTGAGCCGGAGTGGACGGCACGAGGAGTGGAAGGCAAGGCCACGTGTGGTCACCTGGGCGGCCGTCAGTGCCCAGGGTGAACGGGAGGGAAAGGGCCAGGTGCCCCTGCTTCCCTGCCGGGCTGCTCTGCTCTCGTTCGATAGAAGCCACTGTCCCAACCATTTCTCCGAGATCTGTGTTGCTGCTGTGAGGTTAAGCAGGAAAGCACTCCGCACGCAGCCCGGCACACAGCGGTGCTCACTAAACGTCGCTCACCTTGACACACACCCGCTGCTCTTGTGAGGGGTCATGGGGAAACCTGGCTGCCTGCTTCTTGATTCCCACAGCCCAACTCCCTATGGGAGTCCCAGCTCTGATGCCCTGGGGGACCGGCCAGCCTCACAGCCGGGGGGACAGGGCAGGGTGAGAACCTCTCAGGGTCGGAAATTACTACGTAGCTCTGCTGCACTTGCCTCCGCTGAGATCTGAGTGTGGCCCATTCAAAAACAAAGGTCTGGCCAGTGCCGAGGGGGTGATGGCCACCTTCCCTGGGGGCCGGGATGAAAAGCCAAGGCGAGGTCCCAACGGTAAGGCCCACCCTGGAGAGGCTCCCAGAGCGCTTACGTTGCTGATGTACTCAAGCGGGGTGAGGCTGAAGGCAGGCAGCTCTTCCGTCAGGGTCTCTCCGATGCCGGCTGTGTTCCAGCTCTAGGAAGGAAGGAGAAGGCGTCAGCGCTGCAGCGGCCGGCAGCCCTGGAAGGTGCCATGAGGAAGGACGCGAAGACTGGTCTTCGCCACCGGACAGTCTGTAGTCAGAGCTGACCTCGGCAACTACCAGCACTCCGCAGCGCAGGCGCTGCTCCTCGCCGAGGCTCCGTGAAGCCCACCTCAGAGAAGGCAGTCTGCCTGTCTGTCTGCCTGTGTGTGTCTGTGTCTGAATTCCCGCAGACCCACCGAGCGGGACGCCTGCTCAGCCCAGCGACTCCCTGGACGGGCGCCGACCCCTCTTGCTTACCTCACTGAGAACGTGGAAAGAGGGTCCGGCACCCTCCGGTCTGAGTTTCTCTGCACGGTGAGGGTCACCAGTCACCACGGAAAAAGCTACTTGGTGCGGGCAGCTCTCCTGACCCTGGCTAAGGGGACAGGACACCTTACACTGCTCCAAGTCATCGTGGAAACCCTTCCCTTGGAGGGGCTCAGGAAGCCCCTCTGGGGCAGGACCACCAACCTGGGGAACCAGCACTACTCTGCCTCAGGCTAAAGCTACCGCTTTCATTTCGATCCATTTTGCGGCTCTATTTCTTAAGTGACTGGACTCAGAGGGACAAGGCGGGGAAGCGGGCGCCAGCAGCTCCCTCCGTGCGCTCTGTGCCTCTGCCCGGGAGGGCCTCAGCACCGGCACACAGCTCTTGGCACTTGAGGTGGAAATGTCTCCGGTGCTGCTGTGTGAGCTTCCCACGACGCTGTAAGTAGGGAAATCACCCAGACGTGTGTGCTTACAACTCCAGGCCGGCTTCCCCGCTCCAACCTGAGCTGCCCTCCGGCCAGCCTGGAAAACAAGGCCCTTTCCGGCTGGGCCCTGGGAGTGACCCCCGGGGCCCCCCTGGAGCTGCTCTCACAGCCGCCTGATGCAAGCTCTGCTTGCTTGAGCCTTTAAGCCACATTCCAGGAATGCAACGACCACACTTGTCCCCGGCTGCCGCCCAGGCTACGCCTGTCTCTCCCCACAGTGCCAACATGACTCCGTCCCCTTTTCTTCTCTGGGCACGAGATCTTTCCCCCCCACTCCTGCCCTGCCACCTTAGTGTCCTGGACTCCTTGTTCTTGCTTGAGGTTCCTCTTTCACTTCCAAGTGTCTCGTGCTTTTTTCCACTTCACTCCCGATTCACCGAGAAGGAACGCCCCAAGTATCTGCACTTACCCAGTACCTACGCTGCATCGTGTCTGCGGCTACGCTTTGCTGAGAAAGATACAAAGAAATGCCCGACTCGCTCCTTGTTCCCGAAGCTACTTGGGGAAGCAAGATCCCGGGACGCTCCTGCCTGGCTCGGCTCCACGTCTCCTAGCTGGTCATTCCCTCCCTCCTCCCTCTGCACACAGGCTTCCGCAGACAGACCTCAGCAGCGGACGCAAGGTTTTACACACCTCAGGGAGCCAGAGCTCAGGGGGACTAGACGAGGACTGGGCCCCCCCGAGGCAGGGGGGACGCAGAGGCAGAAACGGAGGAGGCGGACAGTTTCGAACATCCAGTGAGGGAAAGGTGTGTCCGTCAGCGGAAGAGACGCTGAGAGACAGAGACAGGGAGGGCAGACGAAGGGAAACCTTTAGCTCAAAGACACACAGAAGACACCTCAGTCAGTCTCACTGTGCGCAGCCAAGATCCTGACTCAAACATTTAAACTATGACGCTGATAAGACAACTGGAAATCTGAGCACTATGGATGACAGTAAGAGGCTATTTCTTCTCTCTTTTTTTAAGGGGTGGTTATGGTACTGTGCGCACGGTTAGAGTCCTTCTACATCAGAGGAGCAGTATACACGCAGCAGGTGGGCCAGGAGCTGACTATTGTGGGAGGGAGCGATGGAAGTACATGGATTCCTTACACTCTCTTTCCTTTAGGATGTGTGACAATTCCGGTAGTGAGAAGTCTGAAAAAGAGACTACACGACTGGCCCGGCGGGGAGAGCCCGGCTGGGAGAAGCCACATCAGAGCGCGGCTTTGTGAAGACGCCTGCAGCGCACCGCTCTGCTGAGGGAGAAGAAGAGCTCAGCAACAGCTCAGGGTGTTGAGAACTGGAACCGGGCACTGGCCGTGAAAAGAGATGGCAGACACACAGAAAGGGAGACAGTAACGGCCCGGTGGGTTCCCCGGCAGGCGGGGGTGCAGCCAGGAAGGGGAGACAGTGACAGGCAGAGGCCCAGAGCGTGGGGAAGAGCGATGGCCCCGTGGGACCGGGTGTGACGCCATGTGGAAGGACAGGAGCCAGGGCTGATGCAGGCGGCAGAGACCAGGTCACCGCTACCCACCCCGGAGATAAGCGCTGTGGGCTGCAGATCTGCGAGGGCTTTGCAGAGAGGCGGGAGCCGGCATCAGCAGGCGCTCAGGCCCGGGAGCCTGGGAAAGAGCAGGGCGGAAAAGAACCCAGAAAAAGGCCAGACAGTGCCCTGGATTAAGGAGAGGCTTAAACGCAGGCAAGAAAAGTGCACTTGGAGAGGACAATGGGGAGATGATGTGGCTTCTTTTTAACTGCACGAGGCTTACTGTAAATCTCTTTCAAGTGGGCTTTCCTGTCCATCTGTCACCAGGTGAAATGGGTAAATGTCAGTGATTTATTCTGAAATTGAATACAGTGTTGGTTTACAGTCTCACAACATAAAAGGACAATACAGTTCACCAGCAAATGTTGGAAAACAAGCATCTACTGGCCAGGGTTTCATTTCCAAATCCCCAGGACCCAAGTGTTTGCCTTTGTATTGTGTGGTGTGGGCTGGCGCCTAGGGGACTCCCTCTGGTCTTCAAAGCTGGCCACGGGTGTTCCCGGCGGCCGGCAGGGTTATGGGAAAGCCTGGCAGTGAAAGTAAGACCCCCGCAACCCAGGCGGACCTTGCTCGTGCGCTCTGGAACGCGGAAGTAGCGGTAAAGGCCAGGCAGAAAGCACTAACCCTGCTTAAATGCAGCACGAGGCCAAGTACCTGGGAAAATTAAGGTTTCAGAACTAGAGGTCGGTTTGTTAAGCTTTAACAAAATAAAAACAATAGGAGTCAATGAACCTGGAGGTAGGGGAGGAGAGATGACAGATACACGGAATGCAAATCTCCTCATCTCTCAAAACAAGTGAACTGATACTGATAACTGTCTAACATGGAAACGTGACTCATAAAAAGCAGTGATTCTAGAATCTTTTTCCCTTAATCTGAAGAGATCTTCTGTTTCTTTTGTGATAAAGACACAGTGATTTCCAGCCCAACAATTCCGTTGCTTTCATTTCGTTTCTCTTTCCTAGTTCAAAAATTTATATTGTACAGTTTGCTTTTTTAAAAGTAACATGTAATATAACTCCCTTTCTTCCTATGGATCTATCAGCTTTCAAGGTGTCTGAGTAGGCATGAAGTCGGGTTACTGAACCCCAAATGTTTACCCTGATTACTTCTAGATGGTGAAATTCTGAAAAGATTTGTTGCACTTTTTCTTTATACTTTCCAGAATATCTGAGCAAGGGAGGAAACTACGACTTACTCAGCACCCACTCTGTGGCTGGTGCTGTACTAAATTCTATCACACCAAACCTCATTTAATCGTCATCAGCTTACACGATGAGAGGTACTGCACTGTCGTGATAAAGACATGGAAGCAGAGATCACCGAAGAGGGAACAGTTTCCACCTTGCCGTCCGGCAGGCACCCATGTGTCTTAGAACAAGACACACCCATGTCTTGGGCTGTGCCCAAGAACTGAGCACTCGGTCCTCACGTCAGCCCCGCTGCAGCTCTCCTCCAGTCTTTCCCTCCCCTCCATGCTAGAAACGCAAGATCTGGTTGGAGTCCACCGCCTGGCATTTCACAGGGTCAAGATCACAAAATTTCAGGGTTAGAAAGAACCTCAAACTTCTGCAGGAAACTGAGTCATTTTACAGATGGAGACTCTGAGGCCCAGGGAGAGAATGAGATTTAGCCAAAATCACACAGTGGCCTGGACTCCTGGGCTGGTGCACTTTCTAGAAGGCAGCAGACAAGCAGAGCCTTGATGATTATGCCATGTAAGTCTTGCTGTTTCTGAAAAGGATCTCTTGGGGATTAAAGATCCACCACTGGATCCTTCCCAAAGAGTGGGATCCCAGTGGACCTGAGGAGCTGATAACGCAACCAACAGAGCTGTTCCACTCGGCAATCCGAAAGAAAAGTAAAGGGACTGGGAGCACAGAGCAAGTGGAGAACACAGGACTGCTAGGCAGCGCCTCAAAGAAGTGTCAGGACAGACAGAAAAGAGCAGAGCACACAAGGGAAGGATGTGAGGAGACCCCAAAACAGCGACACAGAAAGGCAGTGAGGAAGGGAAGTAGCCAAACCCTCCAAACCCCCCTCAAAAACAGACCCAAACCCTACGTGGTGCTGTGCTGAACAAAGCTCCAGGACCAACTCCCCAGGAACGTCTCCCGTGGCCCGAAAGCAACTCGACCTCAAAAGACAGCGCGCTGCTCCAACCAGCCTGACCTGCCAGCAGCACGGGCCCGACGCCCCGAGAGGGCCGGCTCCGCTCTCCCAGTGCAGAACGGAACCAAGCGGCACTAACGACGCCGGGACACGACCGGAAACGAGGCGCCCACGTAACCGCAAGTAGCAGGAGATTCGCGCTAAGCTATGACCGGAAAGGACACAGTGACTCCGTCGCCTGGACAGTAAGCAGGACCCGCCTGAAGTTTGCCGGGCAGGGACGGTTAAGGGTACGCTTCGAGAGGCCTGAGCATATGTGGGCCGGGGCCGGGGAAAGACCACTGCAGCTCAGCGGGAAACTCACGTCCATCTTGGAAACAAGCAGCAGCTGCTGTTTGATGCGCAGGAAGACGGAGTCGAAAGCCAGCTGGTGAGCCTGCTGGTTCAAGCGAGTCAGGGCGGCCCGGGAAGCAGCCAGCAGGCTGTGGTTACTGGACCCTTTCTCCTGAGAAAGAAAACGCAAAGGCAAGCTGTGAGGGCCTGAGCCCGCCAAGTGTCACAGGTCAAACGTGCGGGAAATTCACCGAGGTGAACAGTGAAGGGGATTCTATGTAACAGCGCGTGCACAACCAGGCCGTGCACCAGGCCTCCGAGAATCCAGCCGAATGGCAGATTCACATCCAAGAACGCTGAATCACAGAGCCCTGGAACATACACACACACATGTGCACGCATGCACATACACACACACAGACACCTTTTTTTAAAAAAAACAAAAAAACCATACTGAGGAGCCAACCCAAGGCCTCACACATGCTAGGCAACACTGCCACCGAGCTACAGCTCCAAGAATCTGTATTTTTCATTCAGTTTCCTGGGTGATTCTGATGCATCTGGGCTAATATGAGCACATGCGTTGGCAGGTTAGGAAGATGTTACTGTGACTATTCCTCAGGGACAGATGAGGAGGGAAAAAAAAGATCAGGAGCTTCCCATTAAAAACAAGAATAATGGGCTGGGCGTGGTGGCACAGGCCTGTAATCCCAGCACTCGGGAGGCTGAGGCAGGAGGGTCGTTGTGAGTTCCAGACCAGCCTAGGCTACAAAGTGAGCTCAAGGCCAGCCTGAACCGCATGGCGAGACCCTGTCTCAAAAAAGATTAAAAACAACAACAACAACAACAACAAGAATAATGGACACAGCCCTGACTCCCAGGGAGGTCAGGTCAACTGTACTCGGCTACAAGCCAGAGTATGTAGAGTCTGTGTAAGTCCCAAGGAACTGCAAACAGCCTGAGAAAATACAGAGATGGAAAATGTAACCTTAGTTTTCCTATAATAAATGAACTGATTACAACAGACATAAATCAGATTAGCAATAAAGATTAACAGAGCTGCTTTAACTTAATCTCAGAAGCATGGATGAATGAGCTCACAGAATTGCTTCAAGAAATGCCTGTGGTGATCAAATGCAGCCATCTGGAAGGCCAAGAGGCAGAGCGGGGAGACCCTGAGAGGGCAACCTGGAGCCTCAGATACGTCCAAGCTCTCAGCACCGTTCACCACCAGAGCTCCAGGCTGGTCAGAACTAGACTGCCTTTGCTGCTGTGGGAACAGCAACGCCTCCCCCAACACAGTGAGCGCGGAACCAAACTAGGGAGCAGGGGAAGCTTCTGGAACAGACGCCTGCGGCCTGCTTACAACCCTGGGGGCCATTCCCAGGGAGCTGTGTGACTCATCCCATTCACTGTGAAGTTCTCTGTGCCTGGACCTTGGAGGTCCCAAAGTTCAAAGTCAAACGCACCTTTACAGGCAAAAAACAGACTTTAAAGAACAGAACAGGAGGAGACAATTACCCGCAAGTCTGCACGTCTCCTATGGGGGAGCTGCATCACAGCAGGTGCTGGTGCCTCTCCACCCTCCACCAGGGAAGGGGTGACCTCTCCCCTTTTATGGGGTCGGCCTGCCTGCGGCCAGTATCTATTTGGTCCCCTGTCTGCCACTCAGTAAAGCGATTCTTGCTGCACAGAGGCCAAGGGCTGCCCGTTCACCCACCCTATGGGCAAATTTAATGGTAGACTGAAGTGCAGCAAGGCCTTCTGACCACAGGTCTAAAAGCCACGTTCTCCAACCTGGCTTTACCAGAATAAAAACCCATCTACCCAAGGCTTCCAGCGACACCGCAATGGGTTTATAGATTGTTAGTTCCTTAAAATCCCAACGTAAATGAGAGAAGTGGCAGCAGGGCACACCGTAGCCGAGGGCCCACACAGAGCCAGCAGACTTGGAACCTGGAGAGGGCGAGTGACAAAGAAAAAGCTGGTGTCTGCAAGAATGCCACCTGGCTGGTCTCATACCTTGAGGGTATAAAGTATTTCCATTAAGCCGGCATATTCAGCAGGGTTATCTTTCTGCAGGTAGTTGTATTCCTGCCACGGGTTCCTGGCAGTGCTCTTCTTGTCTGTCAAGATGCTCTCCTGAAAGCCTGCCAGGCTGCGAGGGCTGTAGGAGTCAGACAGGTACTTCCCAGCTGTGGACAAAATCCTGCAAGGAAAGGGTAACTGTGACGCCCCGAGCTGTTCGCAGGAAGCTTCCTCCTGAAGCAGTCACATTTCTCCTTACTAGCGCTTACTAGCGCACAGGACGGCCTCGTGAGGCCGGCTGGCAATGGCGGTACCTTCGGTCATCCAGGAGGAGCTGGGCCCCAGTGCCCAGTGAGAGCAGGCGTCTTCGTTGTCTAACGCTCTGCCTCAGAAGCTGCCGCCTCACTGACAGGGCAGCCAGCACACCCAGGGGCAGCTCCCCTACCACCATCCGGAGCCCTGTGCACGGTCTGTTAGACTTTCTGGCCACACCAGCATCACCGTGTGGAACCGTCAGATGCCAGGGGAGCCACCGGCACCACAGTTACAAAGACGCTGGGCTCGGCAGCGTCTAGCTGGTCCCTGGGGAACAGCGAGGCTGGCACACCCTTCCCCACGGCTGCACCTACCCTACGTGATGGGCTGCCCGGTGCTGCTGTCCAGCAGCACTGCGAAGTTTACTGCTGCGTCACGGGTGCGGAGAGCTCCAGCGAAAGCAGCTGGGCTTCCAGAAAGACCAACGCCTCGCGGAGGGTCCCTGCTCATCCCTGCTACCTGCTTGGGTCGCCGAGTCTCCACCTTCAGGAGAAGCGATGACCACGCCCATGCTGTGTGGAAAGCCCTCCACTCTCCTCCCCGAGCTCCCTTTCACCCTTCGCTCTCCACGTTCCCACATGCCCGGGGTCACAGAAGAGCGAGGCATCACAACAAGCCCAGGTGCGACTCACTCCCCGACGCCTCCTTTCCGAATTTCTTAGGAGCCAAACTGCTTTGGGCGCAGCCGTTTCCCAGCAGTGCTCCCTCTTTCAAAGGAACGCCTGCACTTGTGAACGGACCCCAGGGACACGGACTCCCTCCAAAACCACTGCCGGCACGGGCAGCTCCCCACCTCTGCCGCGCAGCTCGTCTCAGTTCTGCCCACTGCTTACGCTTCCTGCTGCTTCTGCCTGTCAGACTATGGACCGTCCCCGCCACCAGGTTCTCTCCGTGTTGTAGGAAGTCCTCCGGGGCCTCCTGTCCCTCACCCTTCCACACTCATTCACCAGTCCTCCGAAGTGTTAGAAGAGTGACCTTTTCAAAAGACAAGTCTGATTCCACCAAAGACACCTGGTACCCAGGATAACACTAAAACCTCGGTGAGGCACGCAGGTGCCCCATCCCTGGAGCCCCCAAATGTGCTGACAAGCATGCCCTACCCCTCCAACTGCCACCAGCCTCACCCCCACCCAGGGCCTTCCACACTGGCACAACCCGCTCACGGGCACTCTCCACCAACGTGGCCCCCTCTCTGTGCACCTGGGGAAACTGCTTCTCCTTCAGGACTGGTCCCTAAGCATCCCTGTCCACCACACCTTCCCCAGTGCCTGGATTGGGCGCTCGGTCCCTAGCTCCCATCAGCCCCTGCCTCTGCTACGCACACAGCACGTGCTGTCTCGTTTCACCCCCACCAGATCATGGGCACAAAACAGAGCATTCTGCGTCCTTCAGCTCCTGGCACCCAGCATGGTGCCTGGCACACAGCAGACACTCAGTGAAAGTTACTGAATGACCAGTGACCCTGGGCCGAGTGACCAGAAAGTCAGGCGAACCTAACCACGGTCTCTGAGGAGTCAGCTCTCCTTTGGGGCTACTGCAATAGGTGCTTCATCTCAGGCAGCTTGACCCGCGCCCCCCCGCCCTGCATCACCTTGCCCTCCAAGCTGAAGAGAGCTAGCTATGTCGGCAGTGTTCTGAACAGCAGACGCTGCAATTTAAAATGTCAGAATAAATACAACTCCAACCGCAAAAAACTAATGGCATCTTTTCCTAGCACCCTTTTCATTCAGACATCACTAGTGACCTGGTCACTAGTATCTGATCTCTTATGACAGGTATTGACCAGTATTATGAACTAAACCTCACGGAGCACTTGATTTCTTTTCAAGAAATGCTTTCTTATTACAGGAAAAGGCTCTAAGTCAGGATGAGGCTATCACATGGGGAAGCACAGTCCTCGCCCTCGCAAAGCTCTGAGATTAGTGGAGGAGCTCAGCACGTGCCACCGTGCTAACCACTGCGCCAGGAGAATGCGGGTGGGGCGTCCCGAGGTGGCATGTTTCCATCCACCTGTGTCCTCAACTTGTTTCCCTTTAAAGACAAGTTATTACCCAGTCCTCAGCCTTGGGACTTGTACACTATACTGGATTCCTCAATCTGTCTATCTGAACCGTCCTACCCAGACCTTCTCCCGGTAAAAGATGCTCCTTGACTTCTAATGATGAAGACTTTTACATCACTATGTCCAAAATGCCTCTGATACACCCAGCCTACTGGACATCCCAGCTCAGCAACGCAGCGCACTGCAGATCACTGGGGGTTCTGGCCCTCGAGTTTGCAGAGGCTGACTGGGAGCTGTGGCTCAGCGTCTGAGAGAGGACTGCGCCCCAGAAATCACTCGCCTAGGAAAGATAAAAAATTCCAAATTCAAAGCATGGTTTCTCCTGAATGTGCACCCCTTTTGTACCATCACCAAGCTCAAAAGCTATCAGCAGAGCCATCCTAAGTCAGTGACTGCTCATACCAGTGTTCCGAAGTTAAGAGCCGGGCACCACGGAGCGCAGGGGAGCCTGGCAGCCTCCCCGGAACTCGCCCAAGGCGCCCAGCCACATCTCAGATGACCCAACCCAGCCCTGCTTCACTCAGCCCACACATCACACAACGATCCCCTCCCGCACGGGCGCGGTCTTAGGGACCCGGTGCCCAGCGCCAGTCTTATCACTAAAGCACTGCGGCATCCGAAGCAGCTGCCAGTGGGGACTGGTCCCGGGAGTGTGGGCTCCACAGGTGACACTGACGGGGAGATAAGCTCTACGGTGGCCGCGGCCGCGGCCGCCACACATGCTACGCAGCCTCCCGGATGGGGACACGGATGGCGGCTGTCCCGCTCCAGACACAGTGCCTCCGGGATGACATCGCCGCTTCAGGGGCTGTCTGGGATACACTCAGGCTGCTCCTGTCTGCCAAAGCAGGGCCCGGCCTTCTCTCTGGACTGTAAAAAGCAGTTAGAGGCTCCTTCTTCACCCACGACGGCCCCACTCGCCTTCCTAACCAGATCTGTGCTTACCCTTTGGAAGGTAACAAAAAAAATTAAGGAAAATCTGCATTTCTTGATGAGAACAGATGTCTGATAAACAGCACACTTACGGACCCGGACACCTGAGGTTGTACCAAGCTTCAAACCAGCGCCTCAGACAGTTATCCCTGCAAACGATTTTTTAACTTAGAAGAAATTCCCTGCACCACAGCTGATGCCTCAGCATCCCTTTATCTACAAAAATGGAGGATTAAGGAGTCAGTTCACGTAACGTCCTCCATGTTAGAGCTCAGTAAGTGTTATGGGGGGCGGTGCATCCCTGTAATCTCAGCACTTTGGGAGCCCGAGGCAGGAGAAACCCAAGTTCAATCCCAGCCTGGGCAACTCAGCAACTAAGCAAGACTATTTTAAAATAAAGGGGGGTGGGTAGGGCACAGTGGTTCAGTGCAAAGGGTCTGGAGTCAATCTAATTAGTAAATAAATTTAAAAAGTGGGAAGTGAGGAGACTGGTGACAATATTATTCCTGGGGGAGAAGGATTTTCAGGGTTTATTTTGAATACTTGTGAATTATTTTGACTTTTAAATGAGCAACCACTGTGATTATGAAAATAACATGCTACACAGCTTTCTTTTAACTATGCGAGTGCTACAGTTGTACCTCTTCCCAAGAGCCCCGTGACTAACCCAGACCTGCCCCGCCAGCGGGTTCTTCTCACTGTGCACGTGCGTGCGTGTGTGTGTGTGTGTGTGTGTGTGTGTGTGTGTATGTGCGCGCGCATGCGCGCGAGTGGCAGTGCCACTACCCCGTTCACATTCTTCACACAACCCACTGTGTGCCTGTGCTGCTTTGGTTTTAGTCACCCCAGGGAGTCACTCATTTCTGTGCTGGGCCTTTCGGGAGTTATGAAAAGTGACAGCTGCTCCTACTGTCTTGTGCTGCAAGACTCTGTCCACAAAGGTAACGAAATATCTTGGATCTGAAAGACAGACCCTGGGTTCAAGAATGCAGGCAGGCACACAGCTGCGACGAGAACAGTCCACAGAAAGCGCAGACTCTGAGCCGGTCCCCTTCCTCAGCAGCACGTCCTCCCTCCCATCCTGTACCCACGGAGCCTCAGCTTTCATTTCACTGGGACTAAAACAATTCCACCCTTTGGAGAATACTTTAGGACAAAGAATCATCAAAGAAAAAGGTTAAAGAACCACTGCCAAACTGGGCACGGTGGCAAGCTGGGCACGGCAGTGCACGCCTGTAATCCCAGCACTTGGGAGGCTGAGGCAGGAGGATCACCACGTATTTAAGGACAGCCTGAACTACACAGTGAGACCCTGTCTCAAAAAAACAAAAACAACAACAAACTGGGCATGCCAGCACACTCCATGTAATTCCAGCTCCATGGGAGCCTGAAGCAAGAAGATCTAAGTTTGAGCTCAACCTGGGCTATTTAGCAACTTGGCTCAAAAATTTTGTATTGAACTTTATTGGTGCACTTAAATTTTTTTTATTTTATTGGTACATTTTAGATACACATAATAACATTCATCATAGGGAACTTGTACCTGTACATGACACATCTTGCTTCTTTTTTTCTCACTCCCCTCCCCTCCCTTCAACACCCCTCCCTTCAACTCTCCTTCCTCTCCTTCTTTACGAAGTTTTCCTTCTATTTTTTCTTCTTGTCCCTTCCTTCTTTCCCCTCCCCCACTCCCTTGTTCCCCATTTGAACATTTTCTTCCGGTCTCACAATATCTACTATACATTTTGGTTCTTCTTACACTTTCAGTTTCTCACAGCAGAGAAATAATGTAGTATTTAAACGTGTGTTTGATTTATTCCACTTGAGAGGATGGTCTGAAGGGGCCTCCATTTAGCTAGAAATGTCTCAAGCTTACCCTTGTTTACAACAGAGCAGTATTCCATTGTATAAAAAACCCGTATCTTCTTTATCCATTCCTCGGTTGATGGGCTATTGGGTTGTTTCCAATATTTAGCTATTACAAACCGTGTTGCTATAAACATGGGTATGCATATATCACAGTAGAACGATGCTTTTAATTCTACCAGGAAGATACCCAGAAGGGGAATAGCTGGGTCAGATGGAACCTCTAACTTTAGTTTTTTGAGGAATCTCCACACTGGTTTCCACAGTGGCTGCACCAGTCTACACTCCCACCAGCAGTGGAGAAGGGTTCCTTTTCCCCACAGCCCCCAGCATTTGTTACTGTTGACTTCTTGATGGTAGCCATTCTTTCTGCAGCGAGATGGAATCTTAGTGTTGTTTTAATTAGCATCTCTAAGTGACCAATGATGTTGAACATTTTTTCATATATTTACTTGTTATTTCTGCTTCTTCATATGAGAAGTGTCTATTCATTTCAGATGCCCACTTTGGATTACGTTTTTAAATCTGGGGGGGTCCTAATTTTTTGAGGTCTTTATATATTCTAGATATTAGTCCTTGGAGGAACAGCTGGCAAACATATTTTCCTACACTGTGGGTTGCCTCTTTACTCTGTGGGTGGTTTCTCTTGCCGTGCAAAAGCTTTTTAGTAAGATGAGATCCCAGTTGTTGATTCTTTGTACTAGTTCCTGTGAAACTGGGTTTTGTTCATGAAATCTTTGCCTATACCAATGTCCTCAAGAGTAATACCTACTCTATCTTCCAGGAAATTTACTGTTTCTGTTTTAATGTTTAGATGTCTGATTCATTTAGACTTTAGCGCATGGTGATAGACATGGGTCTAGTTTTAGTCTTGGCATGTGGAAAGCCAGTTTTTCCAACACCATTTATTAAAGAGGCTGTCTTTCTTCCGGTGAACGTGTTTGGCCCTTCTGTCAAAGATGAGGTGGGTGAGTGTGTCTGCAGCTGTTTCTACATCTTCTAAACTGTTCCACTGATTTTCCAGTCTTTTACCTTTTTTTTTTCTTTTTTGCCAGTACCATGCTATTTTTATCACATTAGATGCAGAGGATAATTTCAAGTCAGGGGTTGTGATGCCCCCTGTGCCTTGCCTTTGTCCTGGCTCAAAATTTTTAAGTAAAAAAATTTTTAAAAGACTGGGATGTAACTCAATGCTAAAGCTCTGGGTTCAAGCCCCAGTACACAACAACGAAAGACCACTGCTAGCTCAGTCCCTAAGGGACAGAGACAGCTGTACTAACGGAATGAAGGACTTAGCTAAAAGAAGTTATCTGGGAGGAGCAGCCTCTGAGGGGAAAGACTATCTAAGCGGGGCCAAGTCAAGGCAGCACAAAAGCCCTCGCAGTATCAGAGGAAAGAAAGGGGATAGAACGAACTTTTCCTAGAGCAGTGCCGAAACTCCTCCCTGACACGCACCGCTCAGCGGCACGGAGCTCTGCCGCGGGACCAGGCAGGCGGTCTGGGTTAATCCCCGTGCCGTGGGACGGGTGCGACTGTAACACCACTTCTGCGGGGACGTGGACTCAGAGCTCAGTGACCGGTTTAGGACAGTCAGCAGGGGCTCAGCCCGCTCAGCATTTTGGAACAACGTGTCCTGTTTCCTCCTTTTGGCTGAGACCTCCGCAGCAAACCAAAACCACGTGACCACTACCAAACAGGACAGGCCGTGCCCTTTCCAGAGACTCAATAAACGTTTAATGGTGACAGTAATGACACCCTGTCTCCAGGTACAGGCAGTCCTTGAGCCCTTGCAGATTTGGCCACCTGCTGCCGCTGCTATCGTGTGTACCTGACTGTGTTCCTCCCAACCAAGAGCCAGGGGGCTGGAGGACACGGACACCGACTCCTACCTGTTTGCGAGCTGCTGTTCAAAGTCTCCACACTGCCTCAGGAGCTCCCCACAGGTGGCTATTATCCTGAACAAAACGAAATGCACTTCAAGTTCAAGTACCGGGAATGTCAACATTTACAGGGCAAACATTGTCTCATTCATAAAAATGCTAACTATTTGCTCCTTTTGGTAGTGCTGGGCTCTGGGAAAGTGGCTGACCATTTGTTGGCCCAGCTGAAATGTTTTACCAATTACTAATTAGTGGACAAGATCCCTCCCAGTATCTTCCACGTCACTAGCATCGCCGCTATGAATCGTAAGTGTATCTATCACCACCTCAAATAATTTTACATTTCCAAAATAGTGAGTTTTATCTTTGAGAAAATGGGTTGGAAATACTTTGTATCTAAATTTTAAAATCAACATTTACTATTTAATATCTGCTAGATGCCTATTTGTGAGGCATAAAAAACTGTTTTGATACTAGAATTCTATCTGTCCCTCCGGTCACATGAAAGGCAGAAGACTAATCCATTTGTTTCTCAGGAAAAAGCCTCAATGATGCATCACATCTACACTTAATAATTCTTTCATTTTCAAGTAGTTTTATGCCAGGAGTCAAACTCCAGCTACCGAGTCCTTCAACACCAAGCTCATAATGTCAGGACAAATCCAAGGATTAAAAATATCTTAAGCCTAGTTAACTTTTAACTTTCTTTAAAAATGCCTGTCATCACCAGGGTATCTAGGCATTCCATCATAAGAAAGGTTTATGAGAAAGTAAAATATTCCACTCACTCAGAAACAACACACGTGCTTGTGCAGAATACTGCCTGCCGTGCCAAATCACTACAGACGACGGAGCGTGTGCTTAGCACCGACCGCTCTGAAACATTTTATGAGCACAGGGCTGTTTTGGTGTTTCACTCTTATTGATGGTGGATCTGGCTTTTTGTTTAGTGGTTTGTTTTTAGAGTCTAGAGGATTAGCTTTTTTAAAAAGCAGTGAAGGAGAAAAATGACTGCCTTGTAAACACATCTATTATCTTTCCACTGTGCTTACAACACGAGGCGCTCCAGGGTTAACCTGCAAGCCCCACATTACCTGATGGAGTTCTGAAAAGCCGTCCAGTCTTCTTGGAAAAGGGCGTTGGGAGGAATATCATCCAGTTTGCATTTCTTTCGTACTGACTGGAGAGCATTGGTGAAATCAGACACATACCTAGGGAGAAAGGGAAAACACGACAGGAGTGTCATATAAACTCTATTCTAAAGACACCTGGAATTCACAGCTTTAGACAAATCACCGGTGACTTTGAGAATGTCCTTCCGGCCATGGGGTGAGACTGTGTACAAATCTCTGACCAAAGAAAGGTCTCTTTATGAGGCAAGACCGTCTCAGTCACCTGCAGGGTAGCTGGAAGAGCTGCTCAAGACAAAGCAGAAAGGGACAGCCAGGAAGACAACTGCAATGACCGGGTGAGACATGATTCAGGTAAATCACCCCCTTATCCCAACAAGCGCGTTTCTTTGGAAGCAGGTTTGAAGGATTTTTTAAAAATACATGGCCCCACTGTTAATAACAGATTGAGGCCTGGGACACCGAAAGGCAGCTGACTGATACCAGGGTACTCTGAATTTCAGCCAGGGTACTTGAACTACAGCTCACAGACAGAAGGGCACAACACTATTAGCACAAGAGCACACCAGGAGAGCCTCACGCAGACGGCTACCTGCTCCTGCTGTCCGCACAGATTTCCCCCCGGCTCACCGGCCCCCGAGTAAGCAGCTTACTGGGGGTGTGTGTGTGTTTAAGGTGTGTTGCTACTGGGGACTAGTAGCTCTGCGGGAACAAGGCCTGTGCCACCGTAGCTTACTGCTGTATCCCCAGGAACCAGCACGTGAAGGAAATCACCCCAAGTGGACGACAGACTTGCCACGTAGCCCTGGGCAAGGGCTTCACCGCCTCTGGTCTCAGCCACGTTTTTAAAATGGACTTAATGATGTCTTTTGTATGACTGCATAAGTTGTTGGGGATAATAAAACTGCCTAACCGAAAACTCCTCAGAACATGAACAATCAGTGCACGTCCTTGGGAGGGTGTGATGAGGGAGACGGAGGAGGCATCGTGTCCTCCGAAAGCTGAGAAACCTGCAAGATCTGGGAGTGTAACGAGCTTTATTTCTCTCGCTTCCTATACCCAAAGCTCCAAATGCGGAAAGCAGAACATGATGACCCAGGGCCTAAAAAGTGTGTGTAGTGGAAAGAAAGACCACTCAAAGGGCCAAACGGGAGAGACTTCCTCAGGCCACTCCAGGAGCTGCACCCTTTGCAAAGGCTTTGCCGCAGAAAGCCACACAAGCAAACCCCGGCAGCACCCTCCCTGCTGCAGGAGACAGGCGACAGCGTCCCCGGGAGTCCGCTGTCTGGGGGAGGTGGGGAGGCCTAAGGACAGGCTGGCGAGGCAATGGTAAGGAGCACGACTTGGCTTTAACCGTGCGAGGCTGAACAACTGCGTCCGCAACCGGGCAGGGCAGGAAGTGTGCGTAAGACCAATACGCACCCAGCGACCCCAGGCCCCGCAGGGGCTCCCAGCACAGAGCTCGCTGGGAAGAGGGCAGGGGTGTTTCATGACCCTCCAGCCCGGAATTCAAAAGGGGTTCATCATGAAATCGCAGATAAAAGTGCAGCTCTTATCACGCCGTTCTGTCCTCTGTCTGGTTTCCAAGCATCTACCGCATGAGGGTCGCTGTGCTAGAGACTTCATCACATGCTTCACTTAATGTTCACAGCCCCCAGGTAAAGGACATTAGCACCAGTGACTCAGGGAGCGGCGACCTGCCCAAGGCCCTGACGAATGAGGCCAGCGCCAGCCCGACCCCAGACCGCTCCAACTCCGGAGCCTTCACGTGCACCGCTGCGCAACCCTCTGACTGCAAGCACCCCGTCGGCTGCGTCTCCCCCGGCTCCACTCAGGCCAGTCTGCTCCACCCTCCCCACCCCAGCCTCTGGCCAAGCCCTGCTCAGCACCGAGCAATCTCCCACCCGCTCAGCTTACCTTCCCCGGCTGATTTTATAAACATGAGCTGTTTTGCTGACTTCCAAATCACCCCTTCAAGAGAGGATGACCTGACTCCTCCACAGACCCTAATATATTTGAATTTTTAGTGTGGATCTGTATTACTTGTAAACAAAGTAATCAGAATAGTGGACACAAGAACTAACAAGGGCTCTGAGAGATGGCAGACAGAGACAGGGACAGCCCTAAGGATGCTCAAAGCCAGGGCTGCCTGTAATTGCAGAGCTCTGAGGCAGAGGCAAGAGGGCCATGAGCTCAAGCCCAGCCTGAGCAACTGAGAGTTAGTGAGATGCACAATAAAAAAGATAAAGTAAAAAGGCCTGAGGATGTAGTTCAGCCAAAGGCCCTGGGTTCGATCCCTGTACTGAAATTAAAAAAAGGAAGTTCCAGAGCTCACCTTTCCTAGTGGAGAGCTGTGAGGCATACAGCTGGTAGACAGACAGAAATCTTCCTACGAGTTTACAGAACTAGCAGAACTACAATTAGCAAGATGTTCAAAACTCGTTCCTTTCAAGAAGATTGAAAGCGGATGTCTTTTTCACATAGGGGGATTATTTCTAAAAGCATTACTTCTGCTATTTTATAATAAAATGTCTAGATCTCAAGAAAAAAATGGCTTTTATTTTAAAAAATGTTGATGGCAGAGAAAGAGGTGAAACGATTTGAGCCGGCTTGCTGCTGACGCTTGTCCTCCCACAGAGACACACCTGAGCTCACTGCTCAGACCCCAGCCTTAGTGCGGCTCCCTCCCAGCTCCCCAGGTGGGAGCCACAGCGGTGCCGCAGAGCTCTGGGCCCAGCAGCCCTCACAAGCTGCAGGCGGAAGCTGCTACTCCTGGAATGACAAGCGCTCCCTAAACCTCCCACAGCAAAACAGCATTAGTTCAATAAAAGGGAGTTCTTGAGACCCGGCAGCTCCACTGTGGAACAAACTCCCAGAGGGAGGCCCCTTGGAGAGCATAAGAATGTACTTGTCTGTAAGCCAGAAACTGGAGCACACAATCTCCTGAGGCCCTCGCACCTCAGTTATGCCGGCCAGAGAAGCCAGCCTTACACTGCTGTCCTCTTTCTGACAAAATGTATTTTAACTTTCTTTTCTTTTTCTTTCCTCTCTGTAACTGTATGTATGTATGTACGCATGCATGCATTTGGCTCTGGGGATTGAACCCAGGTCCTCACGCATGCTAAGAACACATTCTACTACTGAACCACACGGCTAAGTCCTTCCCTAATGCCTTTATTGCGGTACACTGCAATTCACACACTACACAATGCATCTCTTTAAAAGAATGTTTCTCGGCGCTGGAGATTTAGCTCAGCGGCACAGCACCTGCCTGGCAAGCGCAAAGTCATGAGTTCGATTCCCGGTACCGGAAACAAGCCAAAAACAAAAAACAAACAAACAAAAAAATAAATAAAAGAATGTTTCTCAGGAGTTTTTAGAGTATTCCCAGAATTGTATAACCATCATCGTAACCAGAACATTTTCATCATCCCAAGAAGAAACCTACATTCTTTAACAGTCACCGTCCTCCTCTAAACTCCCCCGCCGCCAGGCAAACACGAGGCTTTCCTCCCCCCATCTGTAGATGTGCCAGCCCTGCACACTTATAGATGGAATGATACAACATATGGTCTTTCTTTTACTTAGCATGATGTTTACATTGGTTTTTAATTCATATTTTAATAACAAAAAAATACAAATGCATGCTTATTGATTTAAAAAATAAAAAATAACCAAGAAAGGAGCTGGAGGTGCAGCTCAGTGGTAGGCACTTGCCTAGCATGCACCAGTCCCTGGGTTCAGTCCCCAGGACTGCCAAAAAAGAAAGAAAGAAAGAAAGAAAAGACAAGACAGCGTCCCTATGACTACCATTCCAGTCCTCCTTCATCTCTCTAAAGAGAACTACTGTTATAAGTGTACTGCCTAACCAAGGGTTCAACAATTTTTTTTTCTGTTAAAAGTCCAGATAGTAAAAATTTTTGAAGTTCAAGTCTGTGCTCCTTTCATGATTAGAAGGGAGTCAAAGGACACAGCTAAGGGAATGAGGATGGCTGTGTTCAAATGAAACTTTATTTACAAAAACAGACGGCAGACAGACATGATGGTACACACTTGTAATCCCAAAACTCTGGGAGGCTACAAGAGTATCCCAAGTTTGAGCTCAACCTGCCTGGGCAACATAGCAACTTAGTGAGATCTTGTCTTAAAAAAAGGCTGGGGATGTAGCTCTGTGTGAAGGCCCTGGGTTTACTCCCCAGTACCAGGGAAAAAAATGAAAAAGTAAAAATAGATGGCAGGCCAGATGTAACCTATGAGCTATAGTTTGTCCACAACTATTCATTTTAAAGCATGAAAAAAAAAGACCTACAATAGAGTCAGCATTCCTAGTTTTTTCGTTTTATTGAAAAATAATCACACCCGTTGATTCACACACCGTCTACGGCTATTTCTGTGCTATAGAGGTCTCTATTACAATAGATACCACAGGGCCCATGGAGTCTAAAGTTCCATCCAGCCTCGAGCAGAAAAGGTGTGCAGAAAAAGTTGGCTGAACTCTGCTATAGCAAATGTACTGTAGCTTTTGCACATTCTTTCTACATAGTATCTGATACTGCAATGTGCTTTTCCCCGCTTGACCGCGTTTTTCAGATCTAGCCATGTGCGTACGCATAGCTCTAACCAACGCTTCCTACACAGCACCCGTCCCTGTGAGCTCACCACGGCACGGAGCCGCTGCCCAGAGGGCAGACGCGCTGGCTGCTCCAAACGCGCCCCTCCGCAACGGCGCGGCACGGGCGTCTGAGGAGCACCCTCTGGCCCCGGTGTGCTTCTCGGGGTTCCCACGCAGGAACAGGGCACGCACTGTCATGGGACAGACGGCCTGCAATGGGGCTGGCCCTTCCCGACGCCCCCAGGCTCACTTGGCAAAGACAGACTTCAGGGCTGTCAGCAGGCCGCACGTCCCCAGGCCGCTGGTGAATCTGGCACATCTGTCCACAGCTGCAGACGCCAGGCCAAAGAGCTTGCTCACGGAGTGGCTCAGCTCCTGCACACAGTCGATCACTTCCCCGTGCTCCTGGGCAGCAGAGGCACACAAGCAAGAGCCACATCAGACTCCAGAACCCCCGGCGACAACATGAAGATGGGGAGCCCTCCCAGTCCTCTCATCTGTGGTAAAACCACGAAACAGGGACATCAGAAACACTGTCCCCAGCCGGAGCAGTTCTTCTAGAGCCTGAGCTGAGGGAGGACGCTCTACACCGTCAGTGACACCTTGGAAACTAACTCCTGGCGGAAGAGAAGGACCAAAGTCTAGTTCACCCTCACACTTCTCACTTCTTTCCTCTTTTCCCGCGATTAGTAAGATGGTACTCTGCCCTCTGGCTCTTGAGGTAGGATTCACATCCCCGTATCATTCCCTCTCAAGAATGTAGTGGAAAGAAAAGGCTTCTTTCAGGGACGAGAATGGAGCTGGGGTAGAACAGACTCTCCAGGTGCCTCCCTAGGAGACGAGAAAGTGGTAAGGGGCAGCAGGTCTTAACCAGCAAGATCAACTCTTACGCGTCAACTCACTTCATGCTAGAAAGCTTTAATGACCTGAAAACAAAATACTACTTGAAACAGAAATGGCCTCCTGGTGCCTACACAGCCTGGTCCATGGAAGCTACGTTCCTGCACCTATTTCCGTAACTTTCTTAAACAAAACATCACCGAATAAGAAATTACTGAATCAAAGAAATAGGCAGTTTAGTGCACCTAAGCTGAAGGCTCTCGTTCTGCTAGATTTTTGTGGGGGATTTTCATTTTACATTTGGACTGCAAGACCCCATGAAGCATTTACAGTCCTCTCCCTCCTTTTTCCTGGTACTTGATCCTAGCGCCCAAGCAAGCCCCTGCCAGACTTGGCCAAGGGCCTGGCACGCAGAAGGCTTCCTACATGGGCAGGGGCAGTGTTACCAACGGCACGGCGCTGAGCTGGATGAGCAGATTTCTCTCCTCCATGTCACCGTACTTCAGCTGGTAGGGCTTGTAGGGACCATACACAGCATCCACCAGTTCCACAACTTTCACCACATTGTGCTCACCTGCGGGAACCAGAAACGTAAAACGGTAGTGAGCAAAGAATCTGCCATTGATTGCCGGAAAGCAACAGGCATGAGGAACTCCACCAGAATTTTCCAGGGGCAACTACATTTGCTTAATCTGCCTTTATCATTCATGGAAGCTTCTTCCACCATCACTGCAGTAAACCTTTGAATAAACTCAGGCTTTGAGCCTTGTTAGCTGAAAGTACTGTTATAGTCAACACCCTGTTTAACCCCACATCCCATCACAGTGAAGAATCCCTTCAAATGAACACTCTTCCCGGGGTCAGGCTGAAGAAGTGCTACAGAGAAAAGGCTCCCAGGACAGAGATTTTCCATTCAAGTATTCCTCAGACTTTAAAAAACAAGACTGCCCATATGTTGGGCCTCCAAAAATTTCTGTTCGATTACATACAAACTCAAAACATGTCAGCACCCAAAATGTAAATGCCCCTATTCCACAGCACAGCAACCCAGTGTAAGAGTTACCCCAAAGAAATCAACGTAAGAGTTACCCCAAAGCAATCAAAGTAAGAGTTACCCCAAAGCAATCAAAGTAAGAGTTACCCCAAAGCAATCAATGTAAGAGTTTCCCAAAGCAATCAAAGTAAGAGTTACCCCAAAGCAATCAATGTAAGAGTTACCCCAAAGCAATCAATGTAAGAGTTTCCCAAAGCAATCAATGTAAGAGTTACCCCAAAGCAATCAACGTAAGAGTTACCCCAAAGAGATCAGTGTAAGAGTTACCCCAAAGAAATCAACATAAGAGTTACCCCAAAGCAATAACGTAAGAGTTACCCCAAAGCAATCAACGTAAGAGTTACCCCAAAGAAATCAACGTAAAAGTTACCCCAAAGCAATCAACATAAGAGTTACCCCAAAGCAATCAACGTAAGAGTTACCCCAAAGAAATCAATGTAAGAGTACCCCAAAGAAATCAACGTAAGAGTTACCCCAAAGA